AGTTCGATTGCTTTGCATCCGATGAAAATTTCTCTTGACTAGGCTAAGCAACCAAGATTTCAGTTTAGAGATAATCGTTCAACATTATATTTACCTAAAATAATAGACAAATAAGAAGGTGAACCTGGTAAAAAAGAACAGATACATCTTATTGGCATTCGAGACTCATCATGCAAAGGTTATATGTAAATCCAAAAACACAAACATAAGCCCAAAATTCTCCTATCCGATAAGGATCGTTGTTTGACTAAAAAATAAAAATAACAATAAGGATATTCTCCGATACATCAGTTGTGTCGAGGCTAAAAGTGGATTCGATGTTTGAATCGATGTGTTGCCCGACAAAAGGGACCAACGATCGTTTCAATATGATGCCATATCCAAAATTAAAAAGCTTAATTCAACTTGAAAATTGGAGTTTAAATCGAAAATAATTTGGCATAAAAATAAATATACTTTAAGAGATGGATTTAGAACTAAACTAGACATGGTAATAAAAATTCTCAACGAAGTCTCGTTATTTGATAGAAACTATCGTTTAACAAAAAAATAAAAATAATAAAAATTCTTTACGAAGTCTCATATCCGATAAGGACTCGTCGTTTGATCAAAAAATAAAAATAATGATCGGGATGTTCTTTGACACATCGGTTGTGTCGAGGCTAAAAATGCATCCGATGTTTGAATCGACGTATTGTCCAACAAAGGAGACGAGATGATCATTTCAATATGATGTCACGTCCAAAACTAAAAAATTTAATTCAACTTGAAAATTGGAGTTTAAATCGAAAATAATTTGGTATAAAAATAAATATACTTTAAGAGATGGATTTAGAACTAAAATAGACGTGCTATCTTTCCTATGAAAGGGCAATTTTAGGTGATTGATATCTTTCCAAAATGTAATCGACTCTTTACTCGAGAATATCCGCATTAGTTCTCATTTTAGATTCATGGTTCCTTTAATACTAGATAACGACTCCAAACACAATAATAACTTACATCCTCGAAATAACTTGCAAACGTGACGCAAATATGAAAAACCTAGAATTTTTTGAGAGTCCCATCCGATCTCGTGTAGTAATCAATTTTATGCAATTAGGTCCCCGACTATACAAAATTTATTCTACACCTTTTCCAGAATTAATTTCTTTCCATAATAAATTCAAACACACCCCATAAGAATTTATTCACCATTCAAATAATTTTTATAAACTTATTTAAGCCCTCTAATTAATTATTTTGTGTAGAATTACACTTATTTCTTTGGAAAATATTCCCTATGTATAGAAAAATTCAACTAAGTTCATGAAACATTCCTACACATCCTAAATGATTTTTCTATGTCCATTGTATAATTTTCCTTCACCTTTAAAGCACTTAAAATACTTAATTTACTTAAAAAACACTATTTATGCATTAAAAAATTCAAATAAAATAATCACAGGACATCGAAAAATTCATCCAATGGCATCAAATAATCTAACACCCCTTTAGCAAATATTCCATGGAAACAAAATATTTTTCTTACACATTTAACATCCCTAAAATAATTATTTCACATAAAAAGTCAATATTCTTGTATCGAAAAATCAACAAAATATTCACTCGAGCATGGAAAAACTATCTTAACTCGTTTGGAATATTCTAGTAACCTCTTAGGGATTATTCCATGCCCACAAAATATTTTTCATATGCCTATAACATCCTTAAAATTATTAAATAATGATTTTAACTATTAATAGGTATTACATCTACTACTTGGGCTAGCTTACCCATTAGGAATTTTGTTTATTCCATTAACCCTTATTATGCAGATCAACATCACTCAACCACACTTGTAGCATAATTCAGTGCCTAGCTAACAGCCCACAAGGCCACAGCCCAACATCATGCAGCCCATTCACTCGTAACCCACCCTCCCACAAAACCTAGACAAAGCCCATAAAACCATATGTCATAAGCCAAGCCCTCCCTTATTATTTGAAACTCTTACCCCAAGATGTGTCCTTAATTCTTTTGTGTCCCAATCACCATAACACTCATATTCCCACAAACATCAAATCCTACTTCCACTAGACAATCTCCTATGTCCTCTACATACATCGATAGCCATGGATTCCAACCTCCAGCCTTTGTCTCCCATGCTAGAAAACTTTAACTCCGTTTTCCTTATGCCCGGCCATCACAACCTCCACAATCATCCATCATCCACAAGTACTCTAGCTCAGGTCACTATAAACACATCCCTTCTCCTAAAAGTGTGTTGTCTTCTTCCTCAGGGCTCAATTTATTGTTGAATTTCAATTCTTATAACTTGTACACATAGAACACATACACCCTTTAATAGCCATTTCTTGCTCCTCAACGTACTCACAACATGGTACTTCGTTTCATGGGGCTTTTGCATACACGAAAAGCATCTTTGGTAATTTTTCACTCATCATTTCTAGAGAATTCGACTTGTTTCATTAAGGCCAAGTAATTTACAACATGGCAATCTGTCATGACTAAGGAAATCAATGCTTTCTTACAAACTGGTTCTTGGACTCTAGTCTCTGGTACACGAGTTATGAATGTTGTCGGCAACAAATGGATATTTAAGACTAAAAAATATACAGATGGCAGTATTGAATAGTACAAAGGTTAGTATCCAAGGGCTACCACCAACTAGAGAGTATTGATTACAAAGAGACATTCTGTCCAATGGTTAAACCGTCAACAATTCGATGTGTCCATACTTTAGTAGTCTCTTATAGGTGGACTATTAGATAACTTGATATGCATAATACTTTGTCGCATGACAGCCTTAATGAAATCATAGATAGGACCTAGCCTTTGGGCTTTGTTGATCCATAGTTTCTTGATCATTTTTGTTAACTCTGCAAATCACTATAAACAATCACTATGAGTTGGTTCTTCTGCCTATAGAACTTCTTACTTGCTTTTGAGTTTATTGGTTCCAAAACTGACTCATTTCTCTTTGTCTATCATATTAAGGGCCACAAAATATTTCTTCTGATTTATGTGGATGACATATTAATAATAGATAACGATCTTATCTTTCTAAAATCAATCATCACTGTCTTAAATTCTCAATTTGCAACTCGAGACCTCGAGAATATAAGCTATTTTTTGGGTGTGAGTTTGTCAAAATAGAGAATGGTTTAATCATGTCTTAACAGAAATACATTACTGATCTCTTAAAGAAACATGGCATGTCCTCCAGTCGACCAATTTCAACTCCTATGCCAATATCCTCCAAATTGACAAAAAATGGCAGCATCGTTTTCTTTAATCCCATATTGTATCGTAAAGTGGTTGGTGCTCTCCATTTTGCTACTTTAACAAGGCTAGACATATCTTACATTGTGAATAAGGTTTGTCAGTTCATGTATCATCCTCTTTCTGACCATTAGATTGCTATGAAACATATATTAAGTTATCTTAAGCATACACCTAGTCATGGAATTCACATCAGACGATCAGACAATCAAACTCTTTCTGGATTTTCTGATTCTGATTGGGTCGGGTCCTTGAATGAAGAAAATAAGCCAGTGGATTTGCTGTTTACATTTGGCCAAATCTCATTTCTTTGAAGTCGTCCAAACAGAAAATGGTAGCCCGTAACTCTATCGAAGTAGAATACAAAGTGGTTGCAGATTTGGCAGTAGAACTATCGTAGGTTACTTCTTTTTGGGTGAATTAGGTGTCTCTCAAACCTCTCAATTGAACATCTGGTGTGACAATATTAGGGTAACCTAACTGACTGTTAATCTTGTATTCCATACACATACTATGCACGTGGAAATTGATTTTTATTTCATCAGAGAAATGATAGCAACAGGGAGCTTCCGAGTGTAATATATTTTAACTCAAGAATAGATTGCAGATATATCGACAAAACCTTTATCCAATGCATGGTTTAGTTTCTTGAGGAATAAACTCACACTTGGCGGCACCAATGTTAGTTTGTCAAGGAGTATTAAGTCAAGAATCTGCTACAACAATAAGTGTTTCACTGGACACGACAACTGTTGCAACACAAGTCATGGATGCAGAATCAACTCCTATAGTAAAAGACACCATGCGTGACTCTAAAAGTCATCCCAACAACAACCTATTATACTTAAGATAAGACTAAAGATGGATAGAAGTTGCTCTGTATTTTATTTATAGATTTTTATAGGTATGGAACTTGTATCAGTATAAAGAGTAAAAGTTTACTGTAATCAAAATATGAATGAAACACCATTCATCGTCATCTTTTCTGTTAGTTTCGATTCTTTTAATTATTATTTAAAAAACTCAAAAATATTCACATTCTAAAATTCAAATCAAATTAAAAAACTCAAGTGAATATTTTGAGACGTCAATCTTTTTTCTTCAATCATTTTATGGTTTGGAACTAATATAAATAAACTTTTATCTTCAAAGTGAACAAATCAAAATTAAGATCGATAAGCAAGTGGTCGAATGAACTTCATCATCGCATTCTTTCTTTTCTTTTCTCTCTTCGTTTCTCTCTACTTTCGGGAACCAAATCGTAATATAAATAAAACTAATAATTAAAACAATTTAAAAAAAAACGGTAACTAAAATGCAACAAAATTTTATATCAAATTTATTAATAAATACTAAAAATCACAGCAATATCATCACAAATACTTGAATAAAGAACAAAATTATAAGAATATCAAGTGAATAGAATAGCGTACATGAATGCAAGTAAATACTAATTGAATAGTAATTAGAGTATTTGGTTTAGATTTTCTTGTTAATTATGACATGCACACATCGTTTTATGTGTTAATTCTTTATTGGCTCATTTTGGCTACCGTCACATCTGTTACATGCATACATCATGATGCACTTCTAACTATGCAAAGACAGGCTTTTCTCACGAATTCATGTTAATTTAACACAAATCAAGAGAAACAAAGATTTGTACAGAACTGCAAATGGGACATCATATTTTTAATAAAATCGTTGTATTGAAGCGAGACAGAAGGGGAGGGCGAGAGTTAGGTATGATTTCATTACTGTTAAAGTATGAACGCCGGTTTCCTTATTTCTCTTTCTACTACTGTCACTATCTTCATCTGTTATCTCATTTTAAGATTTGATTTTGAATTATTGCTAATTCATGGTCCACGAACGGTGGGGTGATTGTTAAGACTATAGATTTGTTATTTTCTTATTTTGAAGCCGCATTTTGATGCAGATTTGAATTCCTAGCACTCCAGGGATGCTCTACCAAGTGGAGCTCGTTGATTAAGCTGTTTTATTCGTTAAGTTTATGCCCCACGTAAGTTCCTTTCATATGCCAATTGCCAAGTTAACCGCTTGTGGATTCCTCAATTATGGCAAAATAAACCTTCTTGAGTTTGATTATTGATGTTTATTGGTAAGGTGTAAGAATTAGGCTTGTGCTAGGTCAGCCTTTCGTTGATATTTTGTTTTAATTATTCTTTCATTCTTCAGTTTTCAACTCAATTGTTATGTCATCTCTCAGTTTTTAAAAATTTGCAGCTATATCTTCCACTTTAATTATTTATCAACTTAGTCATTTTTTACCTTGCGCCGTTAATTCTCTATTATTATTGACCGAAAACTCTTTTATAAAATTAAAATTTTGATATTTTAAGTTGAAAAAATTCAATTTATTTTCAAAAATAATTTCAAATTTTTTTGAGATAAGGAAGTATTTTTTTAATTATAAAAAAAATTAAATATTTGCAAAATTATAAGAAATAGAACATAATTTGGAATGATCCCAAATTTATTTAGAGATTCTAAAAAAAATCATATACATTTATATGCTTATTCTTAGTATAATTCTTAAAATATTTGCGTAGTCGAATATATAACACCAAACCAAGTTTAAAATAAGTTAATTTTGAGAACTACTTATAAAATTAAGCAAATATATGTATAGGATTTTTTTAAGGCTCCAAAAAAAAAAAAGTTAGAGCATTCCAATTTATTTTCAATTTCTTACAATTTTATAAGTATTTTAAATTTGAGAAAAAGTAAAAAATACTTCCTAATCTCAATCAGTTTTAAATTTATTTTGAAAGTAGATTGGATTTTTATTAGCACATGTAAAAATTTTCTGCTCAAAATACTAAATATTAAATTTTTTAAAAGAGTTTTTAGTCAATAATAAAAGAAAAATAAAGATATACTGTCAAAATGGAGTAAGTTATAAATGAAGAATTAGAATGGATAACATAAATATAAGACTTTGAAAACTGAGGGACTAAATTTAGATTGCATTGAAAATTGTGAAACTAAAGAATAATTTACTCATTTTTTCTATCTAAGCTAGGGAGTGGTACTATAAATATTTTTAGCAAGGGTGTCATCATGAAAAGCATAACAATAAATTTGAAATGAGTCGAGTTTTTTTTTTCTTTAAAGGAAGTGAAGGGGTTTAATACATAATTTCATTGGACGAGGGCAAATGCAGAACTATTATTAAAAAATTGAACTTTTAAGGATCAATTTAGAGGATTTTAAAACTTTTGGAATGCCATATCCACCTACCTCTAAAGCAAAATGTAATTTTCTTGATTTGGATTTTTTTTTTACACCATGTGTTTTTATTTTGCATTCTTTCCTACAATATTCCTTAAGTTTTTCTTTCCTCCGAGTTTGAATTAGATTCTAATTATAAATTTTTATTGATGTGTTTCTATTAGTAAGTGTTATTCGACCAAAATATTTACTCGTCAAAATTAATATTAAATTTTGATTTTTCTCCAACCAATAAAATTAAATATTACGGTTTTCACAATTATTTATCCTCACATTATTTCTTTTATTTATGTTTAAACCTTGTCACGTATTGGAGATTTTATTAATATTTTTTATTATTACGTATGCATGGACAAATCAATCGAGATTATATTAAAAGTTTTATTGAAATTTATCATCATTCTTTTCTTTTTCTTTTTCTCTTCCCCTGCCAACTAGTAAATATTTAAAAATAAAAGGCATAAAGGTATTATATTCTTCTCAATTATTTAACACTACCTAGCCTTTCTATAAATACCTTGAAAGTACGAGATGGAAAAACCCTATTAGAGAATATTTTAAGGTTACATAATACATTCAAAACATCTACCATTCTAGTCTCTCTAACAACTTGTCACAATAAAAAAAAAAAAAAGTTGTCACCAATTACCAAAAAAACTAAAGTAAAACATGATTTTACTATTTATTTTCACTATTTGAAATACTATTCACACATTCACAAATCACTATTCATGTCATTTTTTAGCACTTTGGTCCTCGAATTTTTTATACTAATTTTTTTTTTAATTTCAAACTTTAATTGTATTGTGATTTGGTCCCATTTTGTTTTATTTTTTTATTTTTTTATTTAAAATTTACTACTTTAATTTGTCATTTTTTAATATAGTCATATGTATGATCATATTATACTAATATTATTTCTACACTAAGCATTTACTATTTATTTATTTATTTTTAATTAAATAATTAAAACAATGTTTGGCTTAACCACTCAATGATTCAAATTAGTATATTTTTTTATTTTAATACTATTCATTCTTTTGTAAATAAATATATAAAAATTAAATTCACATTTTTTCAAAAATCGATATTCTCATCAATATTAAAGAACAAAAATTATTCAATTCTATGTAAGCTTTTAATAGTTGTTATTTATGTTTTTCGACACAATCTTATGAAATACTAGAGTTTTTTAAAAAAATTATTTAATTTTCTTTTTAGTTAATAATCCATGGATTAACAAGGATAAATCCATTTTCTAAAGGGGAAATTATGAAAAACATAAATAAAAAATAGTTAAATACACAAATTTTTATTAAAAAATTATAAATAATTTTTCACCTTTGATTTCATATATTTTTCTAAACGATTTTATATATTTTATCCAACTCTGCAGGGTAGCACGGGCAAAAAAACTAGTTATTTTACTATATAAAAAAAGTCTAGGTGAAAAGATTTCGTAGAAAAAAATCAATAAAAAATTAAAAAAAAAGTTTTCTATTTAAGGGAAAAGAATTAACGGCTAAAAGCTTACGGACGTGGTATGAGCAAGGTATGATATAATGGATATGAGCTTCGTAAAGAAATGAGCAAATGATTTTTAGTGGATAATGAACAGGATAATAAGTATAATATTTTTTAATGTATAAGGGATGAAATTGGCTTAATGGACTAAATACTCGGCCAATTGCCATCCCTATTTAGAATTCCTATAGTTATGCTGTTTTTTTTTTTTTTTAATCTGAAAGTTCATTTGTTTGTTCAGGTAGAATTAATGTGACAAACATTTATTTAATGTGGATTAATATAATCTATTCATCATTAACTCTTGAAGGATGTCGAGCAGTTAGATTGCACCATCTCATCCATGATTGAATTTTCAAGTTAAAGAAAAGAATACAAATTTTTGTGTACCAGCAACGTCAATCCGCGAGACTATATGAAATTGAACTATGTACCGTTGAACGGTGCTCTCTTCATCAAAACTGTCGTTAGTTATTTTATATTAATACTTCTTACGATAAGGAATCATATAGGTTTCTACATTTTTTTTTTTTTTTTTTTTGTGCAAGCTATCGTCCACAAATGGGGTTAATCAGACACATAATTTTATTGTAGTTTCCATGTTTATGGGTCGAAAGTGGTTGGGTAGTCCTTGCGATGCAGCCATACAATATTATGTGTCTTTTCAGCCTTTATGCAGCTTTGCGGTCTGGAAAAATATAGGGTGTATATCAAAATCTTCTTCGTGCTTTACTTTCAGTGGTAATGTACATAACAGTTTCGATTGGCACTCCTATTAAGATTTTGTTACACGTTCCTCGAAATTTTTTTTTTTTTGGTCGGACTATTTGTCATTTGAGATTTTTTAATTAATTTTTTCTATTTTTTAATGTCTTTTTAGAAACTATGCATGCACGACTGAAGTGTTATTACAACAACAACAGTAATAATAAATGAATTATAACAGAAGGAAATATGGAACAGAACATGATTATAGGAAATATGGTTTATAATTCTGGGGTTTTGTATAAATTAGTCAGAGAACTGTTGTCAACAACGAAGAACTCAATATTGAAACTTATGACAAAGATTTTGGATTGTTGGAAATATTATATGTATACATGAAAATTTTGAATTGGCAAAGTTCACTAATTGTATATATTGAAAAATTACCTTTACATCGTGCAACATCGTCCTTTGACAGATTTCATATACTGTTTGAGCTGTATCAGGCTTGTCATTTTCTTTGGGGTCACTGTATTTCAAGTGCAAATAAATTTTGTATCCATGGACTTATCATCCCATGTTCATTTCGTTTGCCGTCAATAAAATCTCGAGCACGCCTAATCTTATAGCCATAGACTTTGGCATTCCCTTTTGCTGGACAACCATGCATCTGAAATGGCTAGGTCAACTAATTTTATTGGTAATTTACTTCAACTGGTATTCTTTCTTGTGTGTGCGTGCGCGTCTTTTCTTGTGAACAAACTTTGTAAGTCGCATGCTTGGAAAAATTAACTCTACGCGTGTTTCTCATCCAGTCAGGATAACGAGACCTATCTACCACAATTATGACTAAACTAAAATTTTATATAGCGAAAAACTTTTACGTACGGAGATTCACTCGTTTCTAGGTCACTATCCACCTCCAACTTCCGTTTACTTTCCACAAAAATAAGATAAGTATTAAATGAAAGACAGCACTGCATGCGTTAATTATTGAAAAAATACAATTTTTGTCAATAATAAACTTACCTATCTACCATACCATAGTTATGACTATACTAACATTTTGTATAGTTAAATACTTTTACGCCCGGAGATTCATTTGTTATTGGATGCATAACCTAATTAAGTAATTTAAAAAATTAAATTGTACTATTTAATATAAAAATCTTGTTTGATAACTTAAATGATCTTATATTAAATTTTTCAGTTCGATTAAAATCTACTTAATCGGATAAGTTAAAATTTTTAATTTATCCGATTAAGTCAAACATACTCTCTCTCTCTCTCTCTCTCTCTCTCTCTCTCTCTCTCTCTCTCTCTCTCTCTCTCTCTCTCTCTCTCTCTCTCTATATATATATATATATATATAAGAATTTATAAATTATAATAATATATTTTTAAAAAATAAAACATCGACGTTATAAAATTTTATTTCAAAATTCATATATTAAAAAATCAAATTTATTAACAAATAAAATAATATCAAAAATTAATTTGATGAGAATTTTAGTAAGAAAAAATAATTAAAAAATAAATTTTAAACAATAAGAGTAATATAATCGGATACATATGTTCAAACTAAAATCTTAAAAAATATCATATATATTCTATCATCTTCAAACAAACTTATTATATCCAAGTACTTAATTTTTAGTAAATATCAAACGAACTTGTCGGGAACATATTTAGTATTTAACGGATTCAACACTTAAAATTCAGTACTTAATAAATTCAGCACTTAATTTTCAATTTTATCAAACATCACCTAAATTTGGCTCACTTTCAAAAAAAAGAAAAAAGGACAACTATTCAACGAAAGATACCACCATATATTTTAATTCTTGAAAAAATACAATTTACGTCAATAATAAACATTTTTTTAAGATGATCGTCAAATATTTATCAGAAATCATTTTAAAAAGGGGTTAAACTCAATTACCCCCAATGAAAAAACAAATACACATCACACTTCATTTTGTTGACTCTACATCCACCATAAAATTGCGAATGATAACCACAAAATGTTCTGCTTCTTGACTCATTTAACAATACTACATAATCTCCGTATGTCTTCTCCATTTACATAGCAAATAACTCACTACAAGTCTACTCAAGCAATACATATTAAATATATACAATTAAACTTAACAAGGTTAAAATCTCCTCTTTTTGTTTATTAATTTAGCTATCAAATAGTCTTTTAAATTAAACTCGAGATGAAGACTTTATTTTACAAGTAGTTACTCTAAGACTGCAGGACAAAAATAAATTGCTAACATACAATCAACTCAAAAAATAATCCAATCGTTCATACAATCGAGAATCTACGAGCTCATCAATAAGAAAAACTTAAAAATGTTAAAAATGTTATCCATCTTTTGAAGTCTACGGCCACGTCAATTTCTCTCTTTATTCCAACTTGGTTGTTGGGAGGTTGTTTTATTGAGGACAGAATTGCATGACTCGATCCCGTACCTTTTTTTTAACTAGAATAGAATTTCATTCAGAAGGGCACAGCACCCAGTATGAAAGCTTATCTCAATTCAATATATTTGGACGGTGAGATCATTTCAGAAGCCACTGCTTGCGAGGAATGCTAGTACTGGTAAGGAAAGTCAAACCATTGAGACGTGTCTCTTAGTTGGAACACAAGTTGATGGTAAACTATATTCAGCTCACAAGATTTTATTTGACAGCATTTACAGAAATACTATTTGTGATTGCTTTATTCAATTTAGACCAGCCTTTTTAATTAGTATGTATCGGATTTTAAAGACAAAATTGTCTTACGATTGATGGACATATTTTTCATACTGAATATATATATACATAGAAAAATAATTTTAAATCAATTTTATATCAATCAAAATTAAATCTATTATTTATTGTGACTAAGCATCAAAACTCGTTTAACTTTTGATCAATAATTGAACTCTCTCTTGGACTGAATTAGCCGAGGTCCGATACTATTAAAAAATAATTATGACTAATTATCCGTAGATAATGCGAATTAAGTTTTAGTTCGACCAAAACAAGATAATTTTTTTACTCGCCAAACAACCCTTTTTTTAATAGTTAATACTGAAAAATTATAATAAATTAAAAAATATAATTGAGTTATATGAAATTTTGGAATACAATGAAATGGTCATTATTATGTTAGATGGTAGTCCGTATCTATTAAAAAAATATTGATTGGTAAACTATATTTTGCACTCAAAAGATTTTCTTTGACACCATTTACAAGACTTAATTCCTAGCTATTATTATATTATTCAATTTAAATTAGGCTCTTTATACATGTCTTGTTAGAGACTAGTATAAATTATATTCTAGGACATCACCTATCGACTTAAGCGTTTAGGTGAGATGGTCCTTTAATATGGTATCAAAGCTTGGTTGACCTTAAGGTCCCGAGTTCAAATCTCACCATTCTCAATTTTTCAAGTATTAAGCACAATGCAATATAGACTCGTGCAAGTTTCATGCCCCAAATGTTGGACCTTTCACTTGAGTGGGTGTGTTAGAGACTAGTATAAATTATATTCTAGGACATCATCTATCGACTAAATGGACATGCTTTGTACATTGAAAAGTTAGGATAAGTTAAAATGTATTATTGAGTTGTATGAAATTTTGAATTTAACAAATGATAGATGAAAGATTTTTTGGTTCTTATCCAACTTGAAAAATAGAGTTGTCCCACGATTGATGGACAGATTTCCTATATCAAAAAGTTATATATATATATATATAAAGGTTAAGATTGATATTTAAGTTAGATGCAATTTGAAATCTAAGAAAATCATGGAAAGATAGTATCTTCAAAAACCATTTATAAATTACCTTTTGAGAGGAGAGGCTAGTCCGTTCGCCTTTTTTTCCTTGAATTTTAAAATACTGTCGGTATCATCCATGTACGTGGCTCCTTAAACCGAGACGTTGGCTTGTTATGTCCCATATATTCAGTCATATTGACCAACTTCGGATTACAAGGCATTGATTTTTTGTTAAGAATTGGGGAACTCTCCAAGATTATTTCGCTAATAATGCTTTTAGTCTATACCCAACTAAATATGCTTAATACCAGACTGATGCTTTACGCTTCTTGCATTTATCATTGTAAGGAAATCAACTGCTCTATAAACTGAAGTAATAAAATGAATTATTAATTTATTGAACTATACTCGAGTGAATCGTCAGAAAAGGAACAATATTTGTCAGCATGGACAAATGGAGTTGCACACAGACCTCCTCAACAATGAGAAACATGAAAACCTGGGCCAGTCCAATTCTAATAGGAAATAAATACAAACTTGTACAATGACTCTCTAAGGCGTACAATAATAAACCCACAAAGTACAAGAGTAGTAAGAACTTGATTTAAAATATGAAAATATCTTGAGTTCAAATACTTTTTTTTTACTTAGATATTTATATCCCATATTGAAAATTACATTGATAAAAAATTTATTTAAAAATCAATTCATTTATTAATAGATCAATAACTTATACCAAATAAGCTATATAAATAATTTTTGTGAGTCACTGTGATGATTGGTGTAGCCTAAAGTAATCACTTTCAAACTGTAAAACAATAAATATAAAGATGGAATGAAACAGACATACATTTTGTGAATTCATAAATATATATATATATATATATATATATATATATATTAAAGGAACTTCTATTAATGCTGGTGTATAGTGAAGGACCATCATTAATTTCCACATTAACGGTTCAGCGTGTTCGGTATGGACGGCTCTTGCATTTGGTAGGGCAGGTCTGGGTCGGTGTCTTAAATGGCAAATATCAGAATATTGTCGAGTGAAAGGGTAATTTAGTAATAATCAACCAATGGTTTTTTTATGCCGCACTTGCCCTCCACCAAGTTCAAATACTCGGGCAGCATAAGATTATTTTCAGCGTTCGTTACAGATATGTATAATTCATGACTGTGGGACTTTTCCATTGTAAAAAAAAAAGGGTATTCATCAAATCAAAGATATGTATTACTTGACACGGCTAATTCGAAGTTGTGAATTAAGGGATCTTCGATGTGCCTATATATATATATATATATATATATATATATATATTAGGAAAAAAGAAGAAATGATCCACCAAGCACAATTAAATGGAGGCGAGGCAGAAACTTGGTGAAATGTGCAAAGGCATTTTAGTTTCCTAGGAAGGAAAATCAATGTGAATTATATTTTGAATTTTTGTTTACAAAGAATGGCAATGCCCACCCCCGCATTTGGCGGGAAAGGACAACTACGTGCGAAAAGGGCTCTACCTGCCCATAACAAAGTACGACTATTTAATTTATGTACGGACATCTTAAACCCTAGCTTCCTGATTCTCTAGTGTTTTTTCTTTTCTAATTAATGTGGTTACTAAGAAAACCTCTTTGGTTTGCTTTCGCTCTAAATGGACAAGAGGAGCTTACAAATCGATCCACCAAATGCAGGTAAGTCTTCAAATCATGACATGTTGCTACATTGAAGCCATTGAGATATGGAGAATCCTTGCTACTAAGTCTTAGCTCTCTCCCAACTTCTGCATAGACCCATTGTGTATCCTCGACCTTTTTTTGGATCCAACTAGGCAAGCTCGCCATATTGGGGTCTCCTTTATTTGCCAAGTCATTCTCTCCATCAATTACAAATCCAGGTACTTTTGTTATTACATCATCTGAATTTACTATACGCAGGACTTTGGTTCCTTGTTTTTCCAGGTGCTGTCTGAAACTCCGGTTACCAACACGCGGACCTCCGAAAGAAATGACAGTCACAAGTGGCGAACGGTTGAATGCAGTCTTAATGTCATAAGCTGCAAGGGTAGCAAGTGCAGCCCCAAGACTGTGACCTGTAACGGTTAAGCTAAGAGTTTCGTCTCCATAAGTTTGGAGTAGCCTTTTGATCTCTAGACGCACCATTTCTTGCAAGCTAGGACCCATTGTTGTTCCTGAAGTGTAAAGGCTCAAGAATCCACTTTCTACCATGGGTCCACACTCGTCAGAACCCTTTTTTTCACAATCTGTATCTGGCAGTTGAGTAAGGGTTGCTCTAAGATTCTCCAGCCATTCAAGGCAAGTGGCAGTACCTCTAAAGGCAATCACCACGTCTCTGCGTCCTAGCCTCGTGATTTCTGCCTTGTTTTGAGAAACGGCTACATATCCAATCCAACTGGACTGGGTAAACATCCAATTAGGTGCTTTTTCCGTCCAACGTGGGAGTTGGATTCCCGATGTTGCACGCAGATGTTTGGTTAGCCGGTAACCAGTATCCGGTAAACCGGACCGTTCAAACAATGTGCTCTTTGGGAACCGGCAGGTTGCATAGGTGGGTGATGAAGGATCAAAGTCAAAGGACTTATATGCAGCATCGACAAAGTCTCCATATCGAAGAATTTCTCCACGTAAATTATCATCAAGAGGGTCAAGCAAACCTTCCCAGTTTCGAATACCTTGAATTTCCATCCATTTCTGTCTTAGTCTAACCGGTCTGGACGCAGTGGAATCGTGGCGAACCGGGTCAAGCAAGCCTTGCCATTTCTTCAGAGGTTGGTTTGGTATGAACTTTTTGTTGAGTTTTATGGGCTGAGTGAGAGTGCAGCCCACCAATGTCATGTCTCTAGTGGGTGGGACTGTGCATGGCTTTGCAAGTCCAACAGAAAGCCTCATTTTGGTTTCTTTTGTATTATATCGAAGAGAGGAACTTTTTTCCTTAGATGGGAAAAAGATAAAGAAGAAGAGAAAAGGCAAGGGATGGAAATGGAGGAAGTAATGCTCGTGATTGTTGCCTTCAAGGGCTTTTGGAGGGTCCTTTTTATAGGGAGGAGTTTTGAAAGAGAAACAGGAGGTATGGAATTTAACGAAGAGAAAAGCAAGGCATAGAAGAAAGAGAAAATGTTGTGAGAGAGGGCACATATGAAATTGAGAAAGAAAGCGTGATTATAATTTCATGATCCAGAGAGTGTCGGTTTTTGCTTTTTAACTTTGAACCTTTATACATACGTATATAATTGTTGAATAAGAGGAGATCAGAAAATTTTACAATGTATCCTGCTAGTGACAGCTTAGATCCACTTAACTTTCATTTGTATCATTTGATTTTTTCATAAACGCAGTTTTTTCTTCTCATCCCATTTATTGATTATTTCTAATAGTTGATAAATAATCCATATGGGATTGATATCCTTTATGTTATTTCCTATCATATTTTTTTTATTTAATGTAATATATCTGAGTTGTCATTTTTGGTACAGTATTAAGTCATGTTAATGGATGGTTATGTTAATTTAGACGGAAAAAAGATAATAATAATAATAATAATACCTTATTTTTTTATCTTATTTAATTTAAATCATTGATGAGATTTTGAATATCGTCATCAACTCCTCCATTCCAAAAATAGAATTGTCTTAAATTTCTATTTTCGTATGTTCTAAAATGATTCTTTATCAAATCATTGAGGCTTCGTTTGTTTCATGTAAAATAATTTGTTTTTGAACAATATTTCATGTGAATTTTTTTTTTCCAAAAAATGTATTATGTTTCATTGTTTGGCTAAGATAATAGATTTTATTTGAAAATAATTGTTTGGAGTTTGGTTTGCAAGTAAAATAATTTTTAAAAAGGGAAAATACAAGAATTAATAAGTGGTGGGATTCATGATTTAATAGCAAATATATTTTTATAAAATATTTTCATGTTTTGAGAATTTGAGAATTGTGAGTGGTTTTTCCTTCTTTCAGGCTCTTTTTTTTTTTTCTTACTATAAAAATTTGCCATTGACCAAGATTTCTTAGTGAACCAAACATAAGAAAATGAGGAAAATATTTTACAAAAGCATATTTTAAATGAAACAAATTACGTCCTTAAGTCATGATTTTCTGTAAATTTTTAATTAAAGTTTATTTTGTAAGACACATGTGATTATTTTTCAAAAATAATAAATAAATAAAATCTCTATAGGACATAAATAATGCAACATATCGTTTAAAAATATAAGATAATCATTATATATATAGCCAACTAATGATGACAATGGATGTTTATGGATAGAATTTCAAGTGTGCATATATATATATATATATATATATATTATTCAAAATAATAATTACTCTCAAAATTTTTTATCGATTCGAATAAATTTGGATAATATACATCATGTCCGAGTTAAATTGTGATCGCAGCGTCAACAGGATAAAGAGGCAAACGGACGATTTTATTACAAGGAAGAGAGGTAAAGAGTTCGAACAGAAGGGTGAAGGTTTTGCTAGGAACGTTACGGTTGGTTGGGACAGGCTTCATAACTGGAAAAACTGCTTTGGGAATTCCCAAATAAGTGACGAAGGAAGCATGATGATAGACAATTACCAAATGCTCAATCAAGCTTGGAAGTTTTGACTGAGCCGAAATATGTAGTACTCTCCCTGCTAAAGTCCAAAGGACTGGCAAACCCCACTTTCTGACGGTAAAATATTATGGGTCCATTGTATGTTTGGTCCCTTTATTTTAACTTTTATCTTATATTAATCCCTACTATTTCTTATCTTATAATCATTCACCCATTTTTATTTCATCCCTTGAGTCTGATGATTCTTCCAATTATTTTCTTTTCATTTATAACAATATTAAATCAAACCATACTTTATTCTAAAATTAAAAAAAAAATCTATAATTTTTATATCATCACATCTTTCTATATTTGTATTATTTATCAAGTATATAAAATTTTTATTTCAACCGTTATTTATTATCACTGAATTTAATAATTAAGTTAGAATTTAATCTAAATGATTAAACCCTGATTGTTCATTCTTAAGTTTATGTAGTCTATTTCTCTAAAAGTGATTGTATTTGGTAAAAATTGACGTAAAGACAATAACATTACCTTAGAAAAGAACAAGAAGAAGAGTTAAGGGTGACGATAGGACATAACGTAATTGGTGGACAAAAACAATACATAATTGAAATAGAAGGATCCAAACCACCATTAATCAATGATATTGTTTGTAGCTAACTCGAACTGAACACGCTGATGGGCACGGCTTTAGCCTTTATGAAAATAGGGGGCTTGTGTTCTAACGTTGGAGGAAGATAATGACGTGTTTGCGGTAAGATATTTTGATTATTGTATGAAGACTTTTCCATGTGGTCACGACAGTTGTTTGGTGCAAACAAGGTAGCAAAACACTTCTCGTCTTTAAATCTGCTCTGTTAGTTTACGTGAAATACTAAAATATTCTTGCACGAGTTACAGTTTCGCACGTTAATTCCATGTTTCTGAGCTTGAATCTTCCTGGTGCACGTTTAAATTTTTTTCCCACATGACCCTTTTTGAGATATATCTGTAAATTCCCTTCTCCTTTGTCTTTTCGGAAAATCAATCTTTATTTATTGATTTCTCCAAACATGATTAGCAAGAAACGTTAGATTATAGTGCAATTAATTATATGGGTTCTGGCTATGGTCATTAAGCATGTTCTCATACATATACCCGTTTTCAATTGTCGGATTAAAGATCTCTAGAGCTCGAGGATTAACCGTTAAAGAATGAGTTTTAAGAGTTAGGAATATTTAATCATAATCTTTAGATGTGAAATGCAGTACATGTCAACAATCTGTGGCTATATACCATTACTAATGCATTAGAGAAAATTTTAATTCATCGTTAGTATACTCGGTCACTATTTTTTTAGCGATTGAAATTTTTTTTATCACTAAATCAATCTAAAACGATCGTTTGTTTAGTATCATATCCGTCATCGTGCCGTCTGTTATTTTCATTTATATCCGTCATTAAATAGCGACGGAATGGGTTATTGCTAAAATACTTGCAATTTTATCGTTAAATCCATCGCTATTTAGCGACGATATATATATCCATCATTAAATATCCTCACAGTTCTATCACTAAATCTATCATTGAACGAATGAATTTTTAGTTTTTTTTATCAATAGCTATATATTGTTAATCGTAATAACAAACAAAAATAAACAACATTTTATTAAAATATGATACATTATTTAATAAAATTAAAATAGTATAAAATTGAAATAAAATAAATATATAAATGCGTTAAGGTGTACAAAAATATTAAAAAAAAATTACAAAAGAAATATAATCTTTATCGGTATCATCTTTCGACCGCCGAGTTGTTGAGAGAAACGACCGTCTCCTAGGTTATGGGAGGGTTAGCAAGAGGGATGTTAATCTGCTGGAGGTTTTGTAACAAACCCATCATTGTCTACAACCGAGTCCGTATACTCGCTAACCTAACCGACCTATTTCCGGATGGTAGCTTTTCATCCTATTTTCATATTGGCGAAGCCTCTTGAATATTATCACCAAGGTACCGCAAAGTGCCAAAAGAGAAGCTAGCACCGGGATGTGAGTAACACTCGGGATGCACAAGTTTCAATGTCATACACTCTCCGATTCTTCTCCCCCAAACAACAACCAAATATATCTTAGACATGTAGATATTTAGAGACGATGAATCACCCTCATACCGCTTCTTAGCAGCTTGATTCTTGTATTAACCGCATGTGCTCCTACGTCATTGAAATAATTACAATAATAAATTATAAATATATATTTTAGATTATATCAATATGTGTCTAAATATTTAAAAGAATGTAAAACCTTTCCATTATCGTCTACGACCGTCTATTGATAAATGTCTCATCTTTTCACTTATAAGTGGTCACGAATAGCTCGTAAAGATTTGAGTTATGACTCGATTTATTATGCTAAAAAAAATAAACAAAAAATTATGAGATAAAACAAATGCAAAAATTAATTTATAACATAACGGATAATATAGGATTTATCAAACGTTCAACGTGCTCGATCAAAGAGATAGACCTTCTAGTATGCTTGGATGGGCCAAGACCGATACTATTCATTTTCGACATACAATTCCAAGATGTCCGCTAAAACCCCGTTTGATACTCGAGGATGGCCCAATCCCGATGTCATGTTTTCCACGCATCCTATTTAACAAACATAAGTCTCGTTACTCTTATGTTTTAGCTTGTTAAGCATGTTGTCGTACCGCCTCCATGCCGGACTTTGCCACGTATCTTTAATCGGTGCGTCGGCGACCGTATCCTATAAAAAAATACTTCTACATGATGAAAAAAACTATATTAATATTTTTCATGTTAAATTAATATTTTAAATAAAATATAAGTAAATAATTAATATATTATCCTAAACTTATTAAGTTAAAAGTATTTCATCTCCGTGGAGACATACTTTCATGTGGAGCCGCCGACGTCCAACTCGCTCTTTAAAAATTATAATGATTTTTGTGAAGCACTTACTTGATGAAACTAAGCTATCAAACAAAACAAATAAATAATAAATAAGTTAATTAATGATTTCAGTATAATATATAAAAATAAAAAAATTAGTTATCACATATAAAACATATTACTTATCGGTTATTTACTACCAAAGTGATTCGTCCATTATTAGATCCAATAAAGCTTTTTAAAGATGAGGAAACCATAGTGAGATCATCCACAACAATAGGTACTATGGATAGGAACATAGCCGGCGAGGGTACTACTAGAGGGGATGCGGATGTGTCGACACCATTATCAAGTTCACAGCTTTAGACACTTGCACTAGGAATGCCAAGTCCATATACACCATTACTATCAGTTGC